AAATACTTTCACATTTTATATCACCTGTAATTTCACATTTTCATTATGACTTTTAGTGGAAAAAAATTTCGTGGTTCATAGATATTTTATGCCATACTACTGCTTGTCTTTACTTAATAAATTACTTCAAGTATAAACAACTGGGATTAAATTCTGGAGTAGTGCCAGTCAGTCATCAGTCCTCTTGAGAAGTTGTGTTGTAGAGCTATTGACATTATTTTTATTGTTCAAGTTATTTATTAATTAAAGCCAAGCATAGATATAATAAGCATACTATGGTACTAAGTGATTGTGAAAATTCCTTATTTTCTTTTTCTGAATAATGGTGACTACTTCCTTGAACAAGAATTTGAATTTAGGGACTTCCCTGGTGGCCCAGCTGGTAAAGAATCTGCCTGCAAAGTGGGAGACCTGGGTTTGATCCGTGGGTTGGGAAGATCCCCAGAGAAGGGAAAGGCTACCCACTCCGGTATTCTGGCCTGGAGAATTCGATGGACTATATAGTCCATGGGGTCGCAAAGAGCTGGACGTGACTGAGCGACTTTCACTTCACTGGTGGTCCAGTGGTTAAGAATCCCCCTGCCAATGCAGAGGACGTGGGTTTGATCCCTGGTTCAGGAAGATCCCACGTGTCGAGAGGCAGTTAGAGCCTGCATGCTACAACTACTAGAGCCTGTGCTCTGTAACCAGAGGGGCCACTGCAGAGAGAAGCCCACACTCTGAATTTGAGAACGTCCGAGCACCCCGGCAGCAGAGACCCCATGCAGCCAAGCACAGACGAAGTTGTTAAATGAGAACGTGAATTTCTTATTAATGTTTTCATTGATATAAAGCTTTTCAAAGACCTATTGTGAATAATGATTTGGATAAATTTGAGGAAACAGGAAGCTTCTTTTCCACATACAGTCTGTTGTTGGCATTTGTATTGATGATGGAGTTGTTCATAGAATCTGAGTGGGTGGGGACTCCTTAAGAGGGTTTTTAAGTTTTCCTTCAGTGTGTTTCATAAATTTTGCTCTTTTTTTGTACCCCTTGGGGTGTCTTTTCAGTCTTAGACTTTGTGACTTGTTAGAGAACTGCTGTTCTAAGTGGACAATGATACTGTTAAAGCATCAGGGAGAAAGAATGAAATGGAAGTGGTAGCTATTGGAAGCTAGGGAAATGGGGTGGAGGTGTGCCACTGGGTTGTGGATAGACTTCACACACATCTGTATAGAAAATCCCCGTGTTTCATAGAAGACAAGCATACAGATCTCTAGGCATTCTTGAAAATTTTCCCAAGACAGTGAGGCTATCATAACACATTGACTAAATGCTTCTATTTTTAAGCATGATAACTGTCTATGGAACAGACATTAGGTAATGCTTGTTTCAGAATTTCAGAGTTGCATGATTTTCTGTGTCTTTCAGAAGTCGACTATTAAAATCATGACATAGGGCTTCCCTGGTGGCTCAGACTGCAAAAATATCCCCCGCAGTGCAGGAGACCTAGGTTGGGAAGACCCCCCGGAAGAGGAAACAGCCACTCATTCCAGTATTCTTGCCTGGAGAATCCTACGGACGTATGGATAGAGGAGCCTGGTGGGCTGTAGTTCATGAGGTCACAAAGAGTCAGACACGACTGAGCAACTTAGACACACAGAATCATGGCATAAACTTTTTTTCTCTCTGTTTGACTGAGAAAGGACTTAAGTTTCAGAGTGTAGAAACTGCTTCAGGTAAAGGTGAGTCATAGTTGTCAACAGTGTCAATCATGACAAATTGTGTAATCATCTATCTCCCACTTAACTATGTATTAGGAGATCTGTAGTAGCAAATGAGCTCTCATCGCTATTCATCACCATGATAATAAAAGAATTTAGGGAAAGCTATTATTTAAGAGGGAAGGATAGATGTAGCATTTCTCTGAAGTTAGTGACATCCCTGCATTTCACGTTTTCTCTAAGTAGTGCGAACATTTCATTTCTTTTGCTAAGCAGTGTGCTTCCGGGGTATAGAGAGCAAACATTTCCCCCCTGGTGTTGTCTTATTGTACATCTCATTTGTTTAATGTTTAACTTTTCATTATTTATTTCCTTCTAGTGTTACACATTTGTGCTGTGCTCCTCTCTGTCCCTCCCTCTCAGCCCTCAAAGTACTGACAGTGACCAGTTCCAGGAAGGCTAGGGCACACCGTTCTCTGGCACTGCATATCTGAAGTCTTCAGAATAAACATTTGTGACTTTCTTCCTCCTTCTGAACTGCCCTTCCCTTTTCATTTTAATCTGTTATAAAAGTGAGGATAGGAATGGAAAGAACAGCCAGGCACAGCTTTTTAAGATATGCAGAGTGCCAGAGGCATGATTCCCATGTTTGCAGAATCAAAAATTGATCAACTTCCCCTGACAAATTTAAATGTACTTGAAAAAACTTCCCTCCAAATCTAGGACAATGACCATGTAATTTATTGTCCCAATGGATAGTTTCAGTGTCTTTGTGTATCTTGTTAGACAAGTGGATATAATAAGTTAATATATGTATCCTAATGTGACACTGTAGAGAAATATTTGCCCATAAATATAAATTAGATGAGGCTTCCCTGTTGACTCAGCAGTAGAGAATCCACCTACGATGTGGGAGCCACAGATGACGTGGTTCAATCCCTGGGTGGAAAAGATCCCCTGGAGAAGGACCCAGCAACCCACTCCAATATTCTTCCCTGGATAACCCCATGGACTGAAGAACCTGGCAGGCTACAGTACATAGGGTCACACAGAGTTGGACACAACTGAAGCAGCTTAACACAGCACATAAATTAGAGGAATATTTATTCTAGTTTCATGTTATTTTCCCTGATAGTTCAGTTGGTAAAGAATCCTCCTGCAGTGCAGGAGACCCTGGTTCCATTCCTGGGTTGGGAAGATCTGCTGGAGAAGGGATAGGCTACCCACTCCAGTATTCTCAGGCTTCCCTTGTGGCTCAGCTAGTAAAGAATTCTCCTGCAGTGCAAGAGACCTGGGCTCAATCCCTGGGTTGGGAAGATCCCAAGGAGAAGGGAAAGGCCACCCACTCCAGTATTCTGGCCTGGAGAATTCCATGGACTGTGCATGGACTCACCTAGAGCCAGATGTCCTGGAATGTGAAGTCAAGTGGGCCCTTAGGAAGCATCACTACGAACAAAGCTAGTGGAGGTGATGGAATTCCAGTTGAGCTATTTCAAATCCTAAAAGATATGCTGTGAAAGTGCTGCACTCAATATGGCAGCAAATTTGGAAAACCCAGCAGTGGCCACAGGACTGGAAAAAGTCTGATTTCATTTCAATCCCAAAGAAGGGCAATGCCAACAAATGCTCAGACTACTGCACAATTGCACTCATCTCACACACTAGTAAAGTAATGCTCAAAATTCTCCAAGCCAGGCTTCAACAGTATGTGAACCGAGAACTTCCAGCTGTTCAAGCTGGATTTAGAAAAGGCAGAGGAACCAGAAATTGCCAACATCCGTTGGATCATAGAAAAAGCAAGAGAGTTCCAGAAAAACATCTACTTCTGCTTTATTGACTATGCCAAAGCCTTTCACTGTGTGGATCACAACAAACTGTGGAAAATTCTGAAAGAGATGGGACTACCAGACCACCTGACCTGCCTCTTGAGAAATTTGTATGCAGGTCAGGAAGCAACAGTTAGAACCAGACACAGAACAACAGACTGGTTCCAAATTGGGAAAGGAGTAGGTCATGGCTGTATATTGTCACCATGCTTATTTAACTTAAGCAGCATATATTATGCGAAATGCTGGGCTGGATGAAGCACAGGCTGGAATCAAGATTGCCGGGAGAAATACCAATAACCTCAGATATGCAGATGACACCACCCTTATGGCAGAAAGTAAAGAGGAACTACAGAGCCTCTTGATTAAAGTCAAAGAGGAAAGTGAAAAAGTTGGCTTAAAACTCAACATTCAGAAAACTAAGATCATGGCATCTGGTCCCATCACTTCATGGCAAATAGATGGGGAAGCAATGGAAACAGTGAGAGACTTTATTTTGGGGGGCTCCAAAATCACTGCAGATGGTGACTGCAGCCATGAAGTTAAAAGATGCTTGCTCCTTGAAAGAAAAGTTATGACCAACCTAGAAAGCATATTAAAAAGCAGAGACATTACTTGGCTGACAAAGGTTCATCTAGTCAAAGCTATGGTTTTTCCAGTAGTCATGTATGAATGTGAGAGTTGGACTGTAAAGAAAGCTGAGCACCAAAGAATTGATGCTTTTCAACTGTGGTGTTGGAGAAGACTCTTGAGTCCCTTGGACTGCAAGGAGATCAAACCAGTCCATCCAAAGGGAAATCAGTCTTGAATATTCATTGGAAGGACTGATACTGAAGCTGAAACTCTTGATACTTTGGCCACCTGATGCGAAGAACTGACTTAATGGACAAGACCCCAGTGCTGGGAAAGATTGAAGGCAGGAGGAGAAGGGGACAACAGAGGATTGGATGGTTGGATGGCATCACCAGCTTGATGGATGTGAGTTTGAGCAAGCTCCGGGAGCTGGTGATGGACAGGGAGGCCTGGCGTGCTGCAGATCGTGGGACGGCAGAGTCAGACACGACAGAGCAGCTGACCTGAGCCGCAGTGAATGAGCAGAAGTCAGGGTAGATTCATCCCTTGGATTGCTGAGGGCTCTGTCATATCTTCCTGCTCTCTTCACCAGCCTGTGTTAGATATGATCACTCTTTTATATTTTGTCTATCTGTGAGTTAAACAGAGCCTTTCCCTTCTAATCTCCTTTACAGGTAACGTTTTAATGGAGCATCTCGCTCCCTGTACAGATGCGGACTTGGGTTCGTTGCATTGTCCTTTGTGGGTGTATTTATAGCTCTCCTAGCAGCAAGCTGCTTGAAGTGCTATGGTATCCAGAGAATAGTTAAGCACTTTGAGAGAGATTTGATTGATTTTGTTTCCTTGAGGAAAAAGTTAATGTCTCTGGTTGTTGTTTTTTCCCTTCTCATCTGTCTAGTTGCTGATCATCTGGGCTGTGATCCTCAAACACGGTTCTTTGTCCCTCCTAACATCAAACAGTGGATTGCCTTGCTGCAGAGGGGAAACTGCACCTTTAAGGAGAAAATATCACGGGCTGCTTTCCACAATGCAGTTGCTGTCGTCATCTACAATAATAAATCCAAAGAGGAGCCAGTCACCATGACTCATCCAGGTAAACAAAAAAGGAAGTTGTAGATTTTGTCTTCCCTCTGACACATCATTGCTTTATAGGAAGACATTCTACCTCTTGCTGAAACCATATCATTTCCAACCTAATTCTAGGATTATATTTTTCTTTGGTATTGCCATTTGTTTGCTGAGATGCATTTTTTTTTCTTTTAGTTGAACGTTTTCTTACATAATAACAGTAAAACACTGTGAAACTTGCACTTATTAAGGAACTGACTGTGACTGAATCCTTAGTCATTTTACATTTCACTGATAACTTTGAAAAATAATATCTTAGATTTAGAATCATTCATCCAAATTATGTCATGCCTTTTATCAAAATGAATGTTGAAACTAACTTAATAATTACTTTAATTACAGTAGTAACCATATTTCTTCATTTTTGTGGAAACACTTAGGATATTTCTAATGTACTTGTTTTAATAACAATGATGCAGTTTATTGAGCACTGTTATATATATGGCAGGCACTGTATGGCAGTGAGTTTTTTGGTTTTTATTAGCCTTTATTTTTTAAAGCAATTTTAGGTTCCCAGCAGAATCTGGACATTTTTCAGACTGGCTTTTCTCACTTAGTTGTATGCATTTAGATTTCCTCCAATGTCTTTTCATGACTTGATAGCTCGTTATTTTTGAGTGCTGAATATTCCAATGTCTGGATGTTCCACAGTTTATTTATCAAGTCACTTACTGAAGGACATCTTGGTCGCTTCCATGTTTGAGCAGTTATGAGTGAAGCCACCGTAAACATATATGTGCAGGTTTTCGTGTGGACATAAGTTTTCAGTTCCCTTGGGTAAATACTAAGGAGCCCGATTGCTAAGTTGTACAGTCAGAGGATGGTGGCTGTACCACTTTATAGATTTCCAGCAGCAGTGAAGGAAAGTTCCTGTTCCTCCACATCCTCACCAGCGTTTAGTGCTGTCAATTTTTGTTTTTTTCTTTTTGGTCACTGTAATAGGTTGTTTTAATTTGTATTTCTCTGATGACATGATGTAAAGGAGTCCCTTTTTTATATATTTTCTTAGACAGTCCTCATCATGACCGTGTATGTTATAGGTACCCTCCCACTTACAGACCAAGAGATTGAAGCAAGCAAGGGCCAGCAGAAGAGAGGCTTAGACACAGGTTTTTTGGTGTTTACCTTTCAGTTTACCAATCTGTCTCTTACAACTAGTTGAAACCTAGATAAACTTTTAATTCTGCGTTTATAAGAAATGTTAAAGATCAATGACTTACTTAAAGAATTAACTCTTTAGTCATATAATTAATATTTGCATTTTATCAATTTTAGACAGTTATCTTGCAAAGACCTCACCCTAACTTAAGATCATTGATACTTTTGTGTATCTTGATAAAATAATGCAGATTAATTTAAATTTTATTGCTCTGACTTGTTTTCTTCCCTTCAAATTAAGCATTTTAGAATTAAAATATATGTTTTTTCTTTGTCCAAAAGTAATTTGTGCTTATTGTGGAAAAACTGAAACTTTTAAAGGAAAGTATAAATAAAATAGAATGTGCGATTTTCACTACCAGAGATCACTAACACAGCATTGTAAATCAGTTATCCTCAAAAAAAAAAAAAATGACTGGTTTTTCTGCCTAGGTCTCAGAGCAGATGCCAGTTTGCTCTCATCAGCTGTAATAGAGGGAAGAAAAAACTATTCAAAATTTTGGACCTAATCGTTCCTTGCTGTTTTCTTCTTACTGAAAACACAAAGAGAAATGGATAGAGAGAAATTCAACTGAGCAGAATGTATTTTTCTTTTTCTGTGATGTTATTTTACATACACAAAACCACTAGAGAAGTAGTGAGGATGAGAGTCTTTTAAGTATGTAAAGATCTGGGGATTATAAGAGAGGGACTCAAGTTTGGTTTTTTTTTCCCCCCAATGATTTTTGTTTAAAAAAGGAGAGGATTCTTTCTAAATTAACATGAATTTTCCATCTGTGTTCCTTGAAATGTTAAGAGTATCCAGAAATGTTTCATAGATGACCCATGGAGGAAAAAAGGTAAATGATGCAATAAATTTTAGAAAATGCTTGAAAAATATTCCAATTTTAGAAGCTCCTAATAAACATACTGAAGTCTGTGAGAAGTCTTAAAGACTTGTTTTAATTGATTAACCTGCAGTTTCCCAAATTTATTTGACCATGTAACTCTTTTATTACATTTTAGCTGATAACACAAATAAGGAAAATTAGGGATAGAGTTTGAGGATATTTTCTTAAGGTATATAAGAGGCAATTTTGTAAGGCAAATGTAATATAAGAGCAATAAGAAATGGCTTTATATTGCAAAACATGGCTTTATGATACACAGAAAATTAGAAAGAAGAATGTGAGACAGTAAATTGATAACAGTACTTCAGAGAGAAATTTAGTACTGTCTGATACCATTAAAGATCTCAAACATTGTGGTCCAGTAATGTCATATCTAGATAGATGCTCTGGAATACTCTTCAAATTTTGATGTACATGTGTATCCTCTGGGAATCTTGTTAAAATGGAGATTTTGATTCAGTAGGTGTGGAGTATAACCTGAGATTCTGTATTTTTAATAAGTTTATACGTGATACTAACACCACTGGTCCACAGATCTTGCTTTGAGAAATAGGTAAAGATAAGAAAGCTAGGTTTCCGTCTCAGATTTTTCACGGACTTCCTCCCTGTGATGTAGGCCACGGTGCCTCCTGGCCAGGTTTCCGTCTCAGATTTTTCACGGACTTCCTCCCTGTGATGTAGGCCACGGTGCCTCCTGGCCAGGTTTCCGTCTCAGATTCTTCACGGACTTCCTCCCTGTGATACAGGCCACGTTGCCTCCTGTGCAGGAAGACCCCTTTGGTCTCTACGTCTTTCCCTGGAAGGCGATGAACCCCTGCTGTGGAGGACAGCAACGTAAACAACCTCTGTGCCCTGAGAGCCACTTGTCTTCCTGGCTCGTTAATGTACACTGCTTCTCTCCCTTCACAGAGCCCTTTCTTCCTGTTTCTGTGTAGGGTTCAAGGACCCTTCTGTCAGAGTAACTAGATACCCCATGTATCTGTACCTGCAGAGATACTGTAATATGCCTGTAGTTCCACATCTCAAGGGGGAGATCCATGTTTTAGCCCTCCCCTGCTCACATGTCAATTCTACTATCCACCCTTCATTTGAGAGAAAGCAACTTTGTGCTGTGCATTGTAATATGAACTGGTAAGAGTTGATAAAAAGACCTTTAGGTCACACCCTCAGTGAGTTTATTATATGAGGCCCCTTCAGTCTTCATAGCATCTCTGGACGGTACTGTCCTTTTGCTTTTTGTTGCCATCATTTGTATGCTTGACTGGCAGTAGAGAGAGGACTGCAGGTTTCTTTAAGTTAAAGTTTGTGTCTTTTTATTTTCTGCAATGGTTAGCAAAATATCTTGAACAAAATAAGTATGTGCTGCGTTGAAATGATTTCATGAAGATATTTAGCTTTGTTAAGCTTTCTTTTAAGGATATATTTTATAACTAATTTTAAAATTTCACATTGTTAAGCATTTCATTTCCTTGCCTTGTCGACAGTGTTTCAGGAGCTCATTCCTGTCTGTTCTAATGGGCGCCCTTCATCTGGTGGCTGAAGGGCGTCTTTTCTGGCACAGTGTCCGTGACATCATTGACAGGAAAGACCGCTCAGCTTGTGGTTTTATTTGTTACCTCTACTTGGCAGAATAAGTTCTTTGTAATGTAGTTAACAAATATGTGGTAGTATAAAGGGGAAGTTATGGGCACTTGCATAGTTTAAAATAATGCACATTTGTATAAAAGTTAAGGATTTATTTTCCTGTCTTTTAAAAATTAATATAGACTTTATTGCTTAACAGTCATAAATTGTGTCAAATTGCTGTCAAATCAGAGAGCTCTTTTACAGTTTTATTTGTATGTCTGTAAGGATCTGTGAGCATTCTTTCATTGCTAATAGGAAGATGAGGTAATTTAGGTAAATATTTAACCAAGTAATTTACTTTTCTATCTTTATGTCAATTAGCAGTATCGAATGCTTCTTAGTGTTCCTCTAACTGGTTGAATAGAATCAGTCAAATAGCTCTTCACCTTTTCTGCATCATATTCTCTTTTTAGAAAAAGGTATATAGCTCTATATTATCTAGCAATGAATGGAAAAAAATTACTCTAGAATATAGAATATTCTCTCTGTGAATAGGAAAAAAATCACACCTCATGAAAACAAGTAAAGATAAATCACAAATACATTGTAAAATATCTTTAAATATCCATAATTTGGGCCACTTAATGTAAATCTATTCTTTTATTCTAAAAGCCCATCAAGAAAATAAATAATAGTCACACTGTTGCTTTAACTGTTTAGTTTTCAGGTTGTAATTGAATATGAATTTAATTACTTCAGAAAAGATTGAGTTTGCATTTTAAATATACTACTATAGCAGAAAATAGACTCTTAATTGTGTCTGTGGCCTGAGTTTGCAAATACCTCTTCTGTGTCTTCCAGATGATCCATACACTTTTTTCAGAAATTCATAATTATCAAGAAAAATCTGAAACTGTAATATGTAGGCAGTAGCTTTTGAAAAAGAACAACTTTTAAAAAATGCTGATGATTCTGGTTTCTTTTTTGTTTTTTCGGGTTTTGTTTTTCATTTATTTTTATTAGTTGGAGGCTAATTACTTTACAGCATTGCAGTGGTTTTTGTCATACATTGAAATGAATTAGCCATGGATTTACATGTATTCCCCATCCCGGTCCCCGCTCCCACCTCCCTCTCCACCCGATCACTCTGGGTCTTCCCAGTGCACCAGGCCCGAGCACTTGTCTCATGCATCCAACCTGGGCTGGTGATCTGTTTCACCCTAGATAATATACATGTTTCGATGCTGTTCTCTTGAAACATCCCACCCTCGCCTTCTCCCACAGAGGCCACAAGTCTGTTCTATACATCTGAGTCTCTTTTTCTGTTTTGCATATAGGGTTATTGTTACCA